CCTAAGCCGAGATTCGTTCGGACCCTAATAGAAAGTTATAACATATCACTAAGTAGCTAAGAATTAGAATAATTGCTTTAATTGGGGTGCAGGGACCTTAAGCAATAACTTAGTTAGGGCGACACTAGTTAGTTCGATTAAATAGATAAGTACCTTCCTTGATATTCTTTAAAAAAAGAGATAACAATGTTAATATGCCGTGTCACCCCTGAGGGTCACAACTGTTGGATCTTATATGTATTGACATTAAGCCAAATCTGGTTACGAATAAGCCTCCGCCCAACCTAATAGGGAAAAGGACCAGAAAAACGTATTAGGTAAATTAGATTAACGTTCACTGAATAAAATGTTGTTTATTGCTTTTTATTTAAAACAAAAATATATTGGTGTGTGTTGTATCACTCGTTCGTGGCATAAAAGAAAATCAATACGTTTGTCAGACATTCTCAAGCCCGCTTAGATACGTACACAGATACTCTACTACCCAAATCTGACTATGTTTTTCATAGTAGACCTTTTGTTTCAAAATGAATATTCAATACGATGAACTAATCAAACTAAAACTATTTGATCAAGGCTAAGTGAATCTTAACTAAGAGCAAATAGGCTGTTATTCCATTTAGAACGATAATTATTGTTTCAGTATTGCCTTACCACACATTATGGTAACCTCGTATTGAGAGAGCAAAAAGTTTACATTTAATTATATTATAATATTGTATTAAGTTTACTTAGTTATATTAAGTTTTTATTTCTATTAATTTTAGATGAGGTTTACTAACGGCCAGTCTTAGAAACCGATATACCTATCGATGGATTTGGTTTCTAAGAAATATAATTTCTTTAAGGGTCTGTATAAAGAACTTGTTCATTGATCTTCATAAAGTAATCAGTAGAAATAGATATTTGACTAAACGGTGTATAACGTAGATACACATTCATCTTCTTTGTTAAATAATGAAGGCTAGATTAATAGAGTATCTAAACACAAGTATGACGTAGATACCTACATAGGTCACGCAACTATTTCAAGACACAAAGACATGTTTCGTAATTAAATGTCTGAACTAAAATTCTTAACTGATTCGCAAAGTTATTTGACAAACATTTAAATTTATTAAGTAAATACAATTATATATTTATGTATTTAACGTTAGTCACGTTTAATTACAGAAGGTTTAATTAAATATCTCAAACTTTCTAGGAGTCATCGTATTCTCAGAATGAAAGGTCACTTCTACACATTTCTTTACATTTGTCTCTCTATGAAGGTTTAATTAATTAAGTTTTTGTACATGGGTATATAACTTCTATGTTTCGCCAAAGTGTGGCCGCATTCGGGTAGTTAAACATGTGTATACATGTATAGTAACATGGACTTTAGACACAGATATAATGAGTCTTATGTAGATTTCGATCTAACTAATCCATTGAGCGTGATTCCAATCTCCATGTTAAACTATTTAACGAGAATTTTCAAAGATAGAAACCTAGACTCCTGAATAGATCAGGTAGCAAACGTGCAGACCTATTACTTTAGCTTTCAACGCATCATTTGTCACTCGCCTCATCTAACAAATTACAACTGCCAGTCACGCCCTTCTTCCCCGAAGACTTGAGAACGTTACAATACAACCGACATTTTGTGTTAAGGCTCGTCTCATACGACAAGGGTTGCCAAGGAAAGGTCGTCCCCTGGGAAGACATTTAACCGTATTTCTATCAAATAAAATGATCTTATTATTGGTTTTAATGGCCGCTCCCATAAAAGATCGTAAATTGAGACGAAATATCAAACCTCCTTACTCCTTAGTCGAGGTCGTCCCTAATGATATTTTATCGTTTCATTTTTCATTAAACTTTTGCTCAAATATTAAGGTTACTATATAAACGACTTTAATACTGCGAAGAATTTAATATTGTAGAGGCTGATTTTCATTATTTTATGGATGTAAACTGAGAATAGTCCGTTAAGTTGGCTTAGTATATTATGAGGGAATTACCTAAATAGAACCCTACGTAGTCCTTATTCCGGTAGATCAAATACGTGCGCATCATGCGATAGGAATTTTCCAATAAAAATCACATTGGAAAGTTTAGCAACACAATATTACGAAACTTAAATTTACTAATACGGAATTTCAAACCCAATCCCCTTCACTACGACCACTGCCATCAACGCGGCAACGTCGCCGTCGTCGATATCAAATATTTTGTCATATTATTATAGTAGGTACATTAGGTTTAGGTAGTACCCGAATAACAGGTAGCCGACCCTTTTCACTTCAAGGACTAGGACCGGTTCACTGGACATTTCAAAAGGAAAATTTGTTTGCATTGTGGAACCTAATATTTCTTGGTCAATAAATTATTAGAGTACGAAGGGACCATCCGAGGAGAGTGATGGGTTTGAAAGGCGGTAATCAAGCTGTCCACTGAGGCTATATCTCTGCAGCCGCTCGTGCCTGTAATTGGCAGCTTGAGTGACGTGCGCCATTGGTTTATTATCAAAGAAATATTGAAAACGTCTAGTTAGGGTTTCCACACCCTTTTAATTACTTAGGGCCGATATTTCAATGCTCAGTTAAATTTTATCAGAGGAATAACTTTGAATATTTGACAATTTTTCCATACTAATAACTGTCCTAACCTAACTGTATTGGAGACTCCGTTGCCAATAAGAAGAAAAAAAAGAAGAAATAACTAATGATTGAAAAGTCGGCCCTTAGTGTTTATTAATAGGATCAAGTAGATAATTTAACACGCAGTTTGCTTTGATTTTTTAAATTTAGAAATCGATGAATATATTCTGAAGAATGAAGTGATCACTCCTGATAAGCTCAATGCAAGTGGGTGGTAACCAATTAAACTTAAATGTTATCTACTTAAAACGTATTAAACGTAACGTCTACAGACGGTAACAGTTAATTGATTCAACGGAAGAGTTTAAAAATAAGATACTGGGAAATGCTACGAAGTTTGCTACGAAACTTGCTACGGCGTAGGCGATCTACTACAATTTTATTATGAATTTGGATATACCTACACATATATGCTACAAATTCGTAATTAGTAGCTGTTGGAGATTTAATATCAGTTATTGGAGAAAAGCTCAGTGACGTAATCAATATTGGAGAGGTTCTATGTCCAGCAGTGGACGAAAACGGTCTGATGGTGACGATGATGATTAAAATGTGTAAAGTGACATTATATTATCATTATAACAGCAGTACATAAAATCTTCTCTAGATACGAAACTATACGAGTTTCAAAACCCGATACATAACTGTAGGTACATTACAACAGCAACTAAAGTTCTAAGTGGTACTTTTGTACTTTCGACAACAGTTTGACCTTGTTTAATTTAAATCTATGTACGTATATGCGCGTGTATTTCAGTAGGACAAACATTGCATGGTGTGAAAGTGTATGGAGATATGCAAATCGCGTTCCATTTAAGTAATCGAACCAGCATTTTGTGTGATGTCGGTACAGCTGATAACAGAAGATAAGCACCAGTGGCTCGCGACAAAACTACTGCGAATATTTATTTTAATTTAACTGTATTTGTATAGTTTTTGTAAACGGTTCATTAAAATACTGAGGCCGTACTTTAACTTACTGACCTTGGATTTATATGTATCGTTACAAACTAATTAATGTAAGGTATTTTGAAAGGAATTTAGGATGGTTATAAACGCTACTACGCTATTTATGAGCTTAAGCTTAAAATGGCATATAATGGGTTTATTCATTATTCATTTCCTAACAAAATTAATGCTCATACAAACAGGACAGAAGGATTAAACATACTAAGTCATTTTACACAATATGTTTGTAGATATCAACCTGAAAGTGCCTACCAAACACAGATTAGCTTGGCTTACAATAACAAACATCAAACCCGAGTACTAAGAGATCTAACGAATCAATAACAGACTCATGTTGTACCTATAGGGTGAACTAGATACACAGTTATATTATAACGTGTTAGGGAAGGCCGCTCCTCCAAACCGAAGAGTTTTAAACTGACAGTAGCTGTATAGACATAAATGTATGACATTGGTGTTACTAGACACAATTTTTGCGTTTATTATTATCCTATACATAACTATTAGTGTAGTGATACGATAAATACGAGGATTAACATACATACTAGTACATAGAAAGCAGTAGGTACAACTCTCAAGGTGACAGGGCCTCTACGTGTGTCAGTAAATCTTTTCTCTACAGGAAAATAAAACTGAACTTTTAATATTTCAGTAGGTTACGTCACACACACGTCAACATGACGCACTTGAACCACTTTCCACCGGTCCATGGTAATGAACATCGTAGGGCCAACCAGATACTCATAGGGGAATCAATTGTAGGAACACGGCACCGTAATATAAGTATACAAACTAGGGCTTACCTTAAGTTTACATGAAGTTGTATTGTTTCTACATCGTAAGCACGTCGCGCGCTATAACGTGATATCGTGCGTGTCGGGTTTTAGTACGAGATGTAACCGCGTCGTAGTGCATATCGCGGGATGGCGGAGGCGAGTGGAGTGGCATGCGCGGCCGCCCACGCTCGATACGCGCCGCGCCGTCGCCCTGCGCCCTGCGCGCTACCCACCCCACCCCTCCTACCACAACTACACACTCCATACACCAGCCCCGTTCTTTCACTTTCACAACAACTTCACAATACATTGCGCTGTAACTCCCAATGTAATGAAGTCTTTTCAGAGAGTTAAACGACGGAGAATTCAATGGAATGCTTTCAGTTCCCGAATTTCGCGCTTTCATATTTAGCTTTACGTAACTAGTAGAAGGTATCAGTTACCCTTGGACAGAGGTGCAGCTGATGATACTCGGTGTATTTATGTGACACTTGTAGAATGTAACAATTTACCACAGTCCCTACTAACTACAGGTAGTACTGTGGTGTACTGTATAACAATCATAAATCGTAGCAAACAATATTTTAAGATTATTTGAAATAAAACACATGGGTTTATAAATATGTAAACCAATTTTTATTATATAAATTTGTTGTTTTACAATGAAATAAATAATTATTTTTTCTATTTTCCGGTATCTTCTTTGAGAGAAACCGTTCTGTTGAACACCAACTGTAACAAAAGAAAAACAAAGTTAGATCAGATAATCTTTAGATGACTTCAAAACACAGTTCTAACTACCTATAAAATAAAAGGTACCAAAATAGGTACTTACTAGCACACTGACGTCTTGTTTGCGGATGATGCAACTATTTTAATGGCCAAAAAAGCAGATCAATACTAAACTGTCGTTTGTATCTATTCGAGGGTGGTCTATTTGAATTCTTGCCAAGAATTTATATTGCGACCCAATTTGTAAAGAACCTCAAAAGAGACTATTTTCAACGAATAGATTCAAACGATCGATACAATTTATCTGTACAATATAGCATTTAATAAAACAAATCACAACGACTAAATCGACGAATAAAACAAAACCGAAAAAAAAAACGAAGAAAAGGCACACAACTTAATTATAAGTACTTACGTAATTACTCGTTGAATCAGGATCTACTGAGAAGAATCCAATCCTTTCGAATTGGAACTTGTCGTATACTTTGGCAGTGGCGAGGGAAGCGTCGGCATATGCCTTCACAACCCTCAGGCTGTCTTTACGACAGTCGGAGATGAAACCACCAGGCACCTCACTTGGATCCTCTGGATTCTTGTGTAGGAACCTAAATAAAAAAAATGAAGATTATTTTCTTGTGCCCTCGTCATGTTTTACATCCACCTAAATCTTTTAATCATTGCTCAATACAATGAATCTCGCGGTTGACTAGGTGAGAATGCCATTCGCTATTAAGTTTGCGCCTGTACATAAAGTGTTAAATAAAATCTTCTTTAATTCGTCTTTTTCATAGCCGAATAATTCATACAAAAAGTCAAGTATATAAAACATTTCAAAACATGCACATTAAAATTAGAGTAGGAGTTTGCTACGTCATTTGCAACTAAGTATAAAATGTACAGACGTGACGTCATACAATGTTTCGCCTCATTGACGATTTCGAATCTTGTGACGTAAATACAGTTAAACGTGTTACATGATGGACCTTACAAAGATCTTAGTCATCACTCCAGTTACGTCAGAGGAAATATACTCTTATACATATAAACATAAAACTTCGTCTTGCCTTCGTCAAAGGATACTAGTCAATGAAAAATATTTTCCGTATTCTCAACTCGTTGTCAGCCGTCACACTTTCTCTTCCATCTGTTTTGCTTTCATGCCAATCCTTAGATTACGTACTAACTTTAAGGCTTGATCGGAATAACTAGTATTTTTTCGTTTGTATTTTTGATGTATCCTTTTACAGTAACTACTTAAAGTTAGGTTAGGCTACTACAACTACTTATAGTAAAGGTGCTGTAAAAGCATTAATCCAAGATTATTAGATTTCCTCAATTCGATTTCATAAGACCGTTCTGTTCCCCTACAAAAGAGAATAATCTTAGCTTATCTTCTAGTAGTAGTAGTTAATGTCAACTCTTCAAAAATGGAGTTCGCCAAATATGTAGTTATGTCGTCACCCTTGTCTTGGATTCGCGTCTGTAACTCATTATTTAAAAAAAGAATACTCACAATGACTCATACAGCCTGACTTCAATAGAGACTGGCTCAGAAACCCAGTGAATGAAAGCTCTAGGTTTCGATGCTGTTTCACTGCTTTCCACTGAACATTCCAAGTCGGTGATTCTGCCACGGTTGTCCTTGTTCACTTTCAAAACCTGAATAAAAGTATATACTTAGCCCTCTGTACAATGTACTCGAAACAGAAAATTTCTTAACAAATTATAATGCTACTGAATTTTAAGTTGTATTTATTTTATACACGAATTTTACGCTTATGCCTCAAGGGATAGACACTTAATAAGTCATATTGCCAAATATACAATGTATCATGCTGTCTTTATCAAAATAAAGTGTTAGTAACACAGGATTATTTTTATAGTGTCTTAAAATTGAGTAGCGTTCAAGTATGTGAACATGAGGCTGTGATATTAATGAATACACCCAAAACTCTTTACTAAAAGACAAAATGTTCTCCCTGAAGTCTATTACATAGTACAATCGTAGTACAATCTTACCGTAAGAACATAGCCAGCATGTCTAAGCCCAACTGTCTGATTGGGTGTTAACCGCCGTACCCAGCCTCAGGGACTTCCTTAAAGTCGGAAGCCTCGATGTAAAGGACTCTATTAAGTTTCACTTTGTGCTGCCCTCTATTTGGTTCGCTTGGGAAGTCTGGTACTGGGATCTCTAAGCAGCCCTCGTGTGGGTAATTCGTTATTGTAATCTTTAGCGGCTCTAGCGTTACCATCGTTCTGAAACAATGACACAAGATTAAATGTTGTAAATACAATACATAAATAATTTTCAGAATCGACAGACTATGCACAGGTTAAACTATTTGTAAAACGTCCACAGAAGAAAAACGATAATATTATAATGATGATTTTTCTTATGCAGTATTTGCTGATAAAAGTTATGAAAACGAATAAAAATCTTTACATAATGTGCGGTTTGTAAACAAGACTTTCTCTTAGTTTCTGAGATTATCAAGGTCTATTAAACTCTTGGTACAATACAATTTGAGCCCTTGGTGAGGCTTGAAACTAATCGAGTTCCACAGTAACATGAATAAGCCGATAAACATAAATGGACATAATATCTAACAAAATGCATTTTCACAGAACAAACTTGGCCCTATCATGAGCTTATTGAGGAAATATCATGGCAACCTTGAAATAACATTACATGTCATGTTAAACTGCTAACGTGAAACATACCTGATAACGTTATCAGTTAGTATTATGACAGAGTGTCCTTTAAAAGTTTTGCGTATAATTTGAATAAGCGATAGCCGGTAGGTAGGAGACACACAAGTAGCTTTAAATACCAGTTGAATTTCTAAGCAAACGCTTTCATATACAGAATGAACGAAAATAATAAGTAGTCCTATAAAATCGACAACAAACACAAAAAACCGTCACATTGTGGAACAGTGTATTTCGAGACTTCTGTAGATAGGTATACTAATAGGAAATTGCTTCAGGACTTTTTGTCTGACCTTCCCCCTGAGGATTTAATAATTGGTTATCCAAACCACTGGAGCAGTTGACTCTTAGATCCCATTTAAGACAGTAGTAAATGTTCTTGAGATATCGATAGCTGAAAAGTATCGAAACATTTGAGCCCGATATTTCATTGATTGAAACAAATACACAATCAAGACAGGATTGATGTATCGACAATATATAACAGTATTCTATACAATGAATATACATTGATATAGGAACTTTTACTCACCTGGGAGCTGTATTGTTAAGTACGTCTCTGATACTGGCGTCTAACATGGCGGGGTCCACGGCACCGACGGCGCCGGTGACGCCGAGTCCCGCGCAGAACGTGTTGATGGCCTCAGAGGGCACGCCGCGCCGGCGCAAGGCCGTCAGCGTATACAGTCGCGGGTCATCCCAATCTGCACAAATAAAAGAAAAATGTCATTAACCTAACCGATTTCAGTTGAAGTGAGTAATTTCAATAGAAGCTAGCAAACTACACAATAATAAATCTGCCTTCTCATGCTTCTCTAGGACATAAGTCTTGTGCACTTAATTTTATAAAACATGAAATAGTTCTCGGTCAAGCACTACTTTAATAGCTTATCATCGAGACTTGGTAATGAGAGCATAACTGGTGAACAACTAGATGTCGAGCCCTGGATATGTTTTCAACAGAGGTTCAAATACATATACAGGTGTCAAATACGTATAAAGGTTAAGTGGAGGTTTAACCTTTCGGGTAACGAATAGCGTAAAAGTATGTTAACTTATACTGTTTTCTTCATCAAACAAATGTAAATAATATTTCAAGGAATAGTTACTTACCATTCACAATTTTCTCTTCAATGAGTTTAGCGATTTTCCTCTTGGACACTACAGTGTAGTTGACATTGAGACGGCCGTACTCCCATTGGACGGGGCAGTAGATGCCGAGCGCATTACACAACCAGTAGTAGGAGGATCTGAAAAAAGAGATTAATTATTATTAATCCATTTGCCAACTTCATTTCTCTTATCTAATCCACTAAACCACATGAAGATTTCAGTATTTAATCTCCAGGAACAGACTTATTAGAAAGGAGAGTCCACGACAGAAGGAAATTTCAATACGGACAGGAGTCTTGACAAGACTAATGTTCTCACTATCCTCTCTCAAAATTAATGATTGACTACACTGCTGGTGCAAAAGCTGGGCAACCAATTGTAGTGCAATGTGTCGTAGATCAGATACCCGCACATAATAGATAGATCTTTAGCTTATCTAGATCTACAAATTATTGTTCTGGGTTTGGGTATGTACACATCAGTGTACCAGAGTTGTATTTTTGTTTTTAAACACATGTATATTACAGACAATCTAATACCAATGAGTAATATTAAATTTGAAAATAGTTACTGACCTTCTAGACTGGAACTCCTTGGTACACAATGAATGGGTGATGTGCTCGATGCTGTCACACAGACAGTGAGTGTAATCATAAGTAGGGTAGATGCACCACTTGTTGCCAGTGCGATGGTGAGGCTTGAACCTTATTCTGTACGCCACAGGGTCCTGTTTGCCCTCCTCAAGTGTAATCTTCATACGTAATGTCGCATCTCCTTCATCGATCTTACCATTTTTCATGTCCTGCAATATTTTACGTTTCACATATTTTTATGTTACATTTTGGAGGATGATGTGGTTGATATGTTAGGCGAGAGCAGCAAAACAAGAAACTGTTCAAAATCAAGTGTAGTAGTGAGTTTTGTAATAAATTGAAATCCCATACTAATGACCCTTATTTACATACACTATATTTTCAAACTCAAAAATTACTAAGATTTCAGTTTTAGGAACTAGTACAACTCTTTGGTTAACAAACGATAAGTTAATACCTATCTACCTACACAGTAACCTGAGTACCTACTCCATTTTGAGCAGTTCCATTGGAAAATTTCAAATAAAATTACGAATAAGTAGATTCAGATATACTGTTGGTTAAGTATTTAGAATCAATCTACATTAAATACCCTGCATAATACGTGCATTAAAAATGGTAGAAATGTGAGAAACTATTTTAATATTGTTACCTCAAATAGTTGCAAGCTTTCCTCCTTAGGCCTGTTCCTCCAAGGCGAAGGTGGAGGATTAAAACCTTTGATTTCTTCGGACTTCTGGTGGCACACATAGGCAAGGTCTTTTTTGATCAGTTGCACTGCCCACTCATACAGCTGGTCGAAATAGTCAGATGAGTGAGTGATTTTGTAAGGTGTGTAGCCTGTAATGAAATAATTGTAATGTTATGATAAGTTTTCATAGCAATTCCTAGTTTATCATGAAATATTTTAAATAATCTGTTTAATTATGACCAGATACTAAAACTATTCTAAGCATACAAAAAAAAATAGGAAAAAAATTAATGGAATGGACAGAAGTTACAACAATATTAATTTATAAAAAAAAGGAAAGCAGCCCACCTAACCACTCCACCATATCTTTGATGCCAACAAAGAACTTCTCTTCCTCTTTCTCAGGATTGGTATCATCATACCTCAGGAAGCAGATCCCATCATGAGCCGCAGCATACCCAAAGTTAATGTTAATAGCTTTTGCATGTCCAATATGCAAGATACCATTGGGCTCTGGGGGGAATCGAGTTCTCACTTTCCAACCAGTTATTTTCAGGTGCTCTTCTAGCAAGCGTTTTGTATCATTGGTAACCACATAGCCATCAGACTTAAAGTTTTCTCCAGGAGCATGGAATGGTAACTTCTTCATCAACTCTGATATGGACGAAGCACCGCCAACATCAAATGCATCACCGTTTTCCGTGGCTGGTTTGCTAGCTCCTGCTGCAGCAGCAGCTGAAATTAAACATCATAATATAATTATTATTTTGGAGGTACTGATATTACAGTATTTTTTTTATGGGGGGAAAAATCATCAAATGGTTTTTCTTGCCTGGGTGAGGCGAGAGGGAGTATCAGACTCTTACAGACTAAAAACCACCCTGTTCCTGTTGCTCCTGTTGTTCCTGTTGCAGTCCTTGATAACCTGCTACATTCTCCGCAGCTCCATATCAGCATCACCCTTATTGCACTCTATCTGTGGTGGTCTGATGGCTCTTTGAGGCATGCGCAGTTATTAGAGTACTTGGGTGCAGTTTTTGAAATTTTTGGGATTACTTTGTTACAATTTTTAACTGGCATAAATATTTATAAAATTACCCTCAATAGGCTTCTTGGCTTTTTTCCCTGCATCACCTTTAGGTTTCTTTTCAGCCTTTGGTACAGGTGCTAAATCAGCTTCTGTTTTTGGACCCAACAGATCTAAAATCTGTAAAGGAACAAGAATAAATATTACTTTTTGTAAAAATTGTCTTCTCTAGCTTATAACGTAGAGATTATAAAAATTTAAAAAGTAATTCCACAAAGATCTCACCTGGACATCTACTTCATTTTTGATAGCCTTCCCGTCAGCCCAGGGCAAGTCAGTTCGCACTGCTTGCATTATAATGCCAGCATTAAATCTGTATCTTTTTTCTAACAACTCTGCTTTATACTTGGCCATATGCTTCTCTACAGACTGTTCAACTTGCTCAGGTGTAACCACAACACCCACTCCACAAGCTTTTTCAAATGCTTCACGGTCTACTTTTGCTTCGTTGACATGTGTGATTAAATACTCTATGGCTGCTTCTACTCTTACAGTGGAGTCGAGCTTCCCATCGGCAATAAATCCACATACAAACGGCAGCTTGGCAGCAATCTGGGGCTTTATCTTTGTAGCCAGATGGTATATCAACATACCAGCACCTGTTGGTAACTTTGCCACGTCCACCTTTGGAAATAATAGGAAACATTTTAATGTTATTAGATAATTAAATACAAATACTTTGATAAAGTGTTTTCTTTTACAAAACAAGGGTAATTTCAAGTAAAATGAAAGTACTAACCTCATTGAGTGCGGCGAGTAAATATTTTGTAACATTGGTGTTTTTCAATGTTTCCTTCGCTTTTTGTTCGTTTAAGCCCAGAAGCTTGAACCTTTCGACTGTTTCCTCAGGAGTCATATTTAGTTTTTACGATAAATCTGTGTTTATAACAGTGAAAGTCCAAACCGCAAATCTCACTCAGCTGGTAACTGAAATTCAATCCAATAAGATTTGATAGATGACGACAGAATAGACAGAACTTACGAAATGACATATTGACAGTGACAGAACAGTTGGATCTATCAGAAAAAGAAACTGCGTTCCATTAAACGCTATATTAATTTTATGTATCTCTTAATTATTTATTTATTTTTGCAATGGTCGTCCCACTACAGGGCAAAGTCCTCCCTACCCTTCTTTCACTCATCTTCTTTTTATAGCTTTCTGTGGCCAATTCTTTTAATAGGTGTCAAGTTCATTCCGCCATCTCCTTCTGGACCTACCGCGACTTCTATTTATATCTCATAACAGACTAAAAAAACAAAAAAACCTTAGGGAGTAAACTAGGTAGTGTACCTGTTTCCATAAACTGGGTGCAGTTTCAAAAATGGCTTTTTTTAAAAAAGGTTTCAAAAAGGTCAATAATACTTCGCCCGACTTGCCACTTGAACCCAATAGTCCTAGCTCGATAATCGACTTCGACCACGTAATAAAAATTTAGTTTTAGAGTAAAAAAAATCTTATATGTAGGTAGACACTTTTACTTAAGGGTTAACACTTCAACCAACCCGGAAATCGAATCATCTTGCTCAGCAGCTACTTACTCTCATGACTAAACCAACGAGCGAGACGATAGGTATTATACGGTAGACATCGTTTCAAGAAACAAAAGACGTAACTCTATGCTGTCTCTAGAGGCCTTTTTTTCTTCCAGTTATCATCGTTTGATATTCACCACATCATTTGAATCCCCTACAAACAATGCTCGCCTACCTACTTACTGGTGGCAAGGACTTATCAAACCGAATGCGACGGCCCATTGATCCGTGAATATAATTGTGAGACACTTGTCTCGTCTCATTAATACCAAGAAGTGTACAGGAGCGAGTAACACCCACGTCTTTCTCGGAAATAAAGTTCAACAGATCACATAAGTTAAAATGAACTATATAAATAGTATCATATTAATGATGCCTTTTATTTGGTGGAAGTCTACGATAGTCCACTGCTGGGCCTTTTCTGCATAATCGCCATAAGCTCCACGCTTAGACATCATACTTAGTTTAAACTGGCTATGACGTACAATTTTACAGTAAAGTGTAAATAATAGATAGAACGACAAATAACGAGTTCGAGTCCAGATTTCGTGTTCGTGTTTTTCACCGTAGGTAGGTAGGTAAGTCCCTATTGGCTGAGAATTTCCGACGAATTTCTTAATGGAATGCCAATGTGTCAAATATCAATGCTTAGTGCTCATGTACCTGTAGGTATGCTTAGTTATCTAACAGAGAATTCCAAAAACTGTTCATAATATTAATTTGAACCTGATATCTCTTTGATGAGTAAAAACTGCGATAATAGATGATGTCGATAAATAGATAAAACCCTAAAGATTGATTGCTAGTTTTGCTAACATAGTAAGTATGTACCTAGGTAGTTACAATTTTACCCGAAATACGTAATAGGCAGTACCGTCTTTACCATAAGGGCCTTCGGGGCCGGAGCCCAGGGCTCCCATCCCCAGGAGACCCCGAAGGACCGACAATTTTTACAACGGACACACACCCGATACACGTTACGCGGCAACCGGCTGCCGCGCAACTTGTAGCGGATTCGATTGCCGCACGGAGCAAATCTTTGTGTGCTTCACAAATTGTTGTTTCGGGTCTGGGTGTCATGTGTATTTTTTTTAATGGGACAAGCCCGCCACAACCTCCCAAAACCGCTGCAACTCCTGTAAGCCAGGATCTACAGTAGATACAACCATGAAAGCACCGGAACACTGAAGTCCGGCGGGTCCCAGGGACATGAACAACTGTCTTGGTTCCCCCAACGAAGTGAATCAGAACTTATAAGAGAAGAAAAAAAACGCTAGTCTCCACTTCCCTCGGTGAATTTACTGCAGGAGACAGAGTGAATTAAAAAGGCACAAAGAAAAGAGACTGTACAACTGGGTGAAGCCCAGTCGCCAAGCAGCATGGAAATTTTACCAAAATCTAAGTGGGTCCTATGTTTGAGCTGTTATACTTGCTTCCGGTATGGCAAAAGCGCCTAAACGCACGGAAAATATGTTCTAGATTCCACAAGGTCCGTATAATAAGTTGCACCTGACAAAACAATTAAATTATTTAACATAGTGTTACGTTCATACTGCCAGAGATCACACTCCCAGATTATGTGATGGATGGACTGCTCATATTGCAGCTCCGCTGTCGAATATTGGCACCATGGTGAATCAACAAGTTTAAATGAGAACAATTTGCTTTTAAAGTTGCCGTGGCCAGTCAGAAATGTTTGTAAATGCACCCACGATACAAGACAAAATCCTAGGGTGGGGCAACGTTAAAAAAACATTCCACAAGTACTCCGAATTATTGTGTGCCCGAGGGCCCCAGCATAGTCTAAGACAGCCCTGTTAATAGGTACTTGATTCGCAACTATTGTACTTAGGTTTATTATGAAGATAAATAAAACGAAGGTCAAGCTGAGGTAACCGATATCCATGGTCATGATCTTGAGTAGTGTGCAAAGCTATAGGTAACAGATGTACCCTTTGGTCGTAGACGGTAAATTAATATTTGATGTTTACAGAAAATTCTTCTTTGGCGCCAGGAACTCAATGGTAACTAATATGAACATAATATCAAAGTTTCCTGCAGAAAATTTTGATTATCAGAAAACCTCAAAAAGTCAATAATCACTAACCGCGTTAGTTACTCTTCAAGTCCACCGTACCTACTAATATTATCCCGATAATAATCAATAGCCCGAAATTTATATTTAATCACATAAAGTAACGACTTTCGCGTCAACGATAAACGACTATAATAACGTGGCCACACATTAAGAGTGAGTGATAAGCAGATAATAATTGATGAGGGCAAAGATCGATACCTGTTGCTATTACCTATTATTACCCGACGGTATTATGTATGCAAAATTAATGAAATTGTTCGTTATTACATGTTTGTCCACGGACGATTAGAAAGAACCGTGGGATGTAACAGCTGACGACAGGGTTCCTTATACACCGTTACTGAAACAATGCGTAGCCCCGATTACGTTATCAAGGGTTCTAATGCGTTGAGGCCTTTTTATTTTCCACGTTACAAAACTACGTTTATACCTAGCTACCTAGTGTGGAATGAAGATAGAAAAACCTAATCAAGTATTAAAGCGAAAACTCATTGACGTATAATGCATCAGCAAACAAATTGATGACCTACTGCAGCTATTTAAATATTAGAATCCGTGGAATCGATTAATTAGTGATATCGGTTCTAGAAGGTGAACAAGGGTAGGTTATAAAGTAGTACTATAATACCTAAATGAACATTTTTTGTACTTACATCAAATGATGTAGGTACAAAAAATGAGATAAATATCTCATTCAAGAAAACGGCATAAAAATGAAGTTGTTTTTAGGTAATCGCATTCAGACGGACAGACGCTGTAAAGTTTATGCTTATCTGGTTACAGGATGTAACCAGATAAGCATAAACTCATGTCCTTACTATTATAAATGGGAAAGTGAGTTTGTTTGTCAGTTTGTTCCGCTTTCACGTCGTAATTTCTAAACCGATTGCTTTGAATTTTTGCAGACGTAAAATTAAAAGTCCGGATTAAATAATAGAATACTTTTTATCCCGGAAAATTTTGGTATTCCCGAGGGAAAACAAAAGAATTGGTATAGATGGCGCTGTGTGTATTGGTATAGGCTACTTTTATCCTTTTGTAAGGCGAGCAAAGCCGCGGGTAAAAGCTAGTGATTGATAATTTAAAAAACTAGTAATCCTACTTCGAAACCTAATTACCCAGTTTACTACGAGTCTACGACTGTACTGGATCAATAAAGCATTACTTTATAATGAGCCCTAAATTTTCTATTCAGAAAACTATAATGTAATATTGATAGTGGACTTATCTGTATTGTGGCGTATTAAGGTCTAGATGAACTTACATTCCTAAAGGTTAAGTGAACCACACTGCAGAATCAGGGAATGGCATTTCGAGACTCTCGCGTAGACGAAAACCACAAACTGTTCACCAATTCCCACGATTTCGGTGTCAATGCTTGAACTACCAACTGCCAGTATATTAGAGATCGATCCTATATAAATTCTTGTATTAATACGAGGGTTCAGTTTCCAATAATCTCGAAATGGAATTTAACTATAAAACAAAATCGTTCGTCCGTGGATTTGTTAAGTGAGTGGGTGTAGGCGCTTCGTATTTGGAGGATTTTGGTGTATTTGAGAAGGTTCAGATTTAGTTCAATTTCTTAAGAGAAGTCATGAAAGGCTCATTGTCAAATATGATATTTGATGGCCTACCTTCCTTTAATATCCCATAAGTAGGTCCATCTTGTTGTAAAATTGAAAACACGACTGTCTATCTGTTCCTTAAGCAATAATAAGCGTTGCGTGATTTAAATTATATTCACAATAACTATAAACTCAGCTGTATTGACTTGTTCCAATTTTCCGACTTCCTACCTCGTCCAAACCACCACAAATAACTAACCCATAAGTTTAACCCAACAAAAACAATTTGAACTAGTTTACAAGATTATCTAAGACTCAATATATTTCATGAGCTACTATGAATATTTCGACACGTTGGAAATATTTTTATACGTGCTCATAATCGTGTATTTGCTTGTATAGTCGGCCTTAACTCATATAATATATTTATGTTATCCACAAATCTTTCACCGTTCACATTCAGAACCGAAGCTTTAATGCACAAAGGTGAGTATTAATTTAACTTTACGAGGTTTGGTGTGTCAATGTTTCTAGTTATTAGTTAGGAAGGTGTGAACATGCATTAGGCACTGACGTGGTGATAGGACGTGCTATTATTTCTGTTCCCAAGTTTCACACAAGTACATTTTATAGCGACTGTTAAATACATAATAATAGTAATAAGTATAACCTTTACCTACTATTTATAAGATATGTATAAACAGATACCGAACATCCAACATATGGATTCCTTTTTCTTGACCTAATGTTCAGAAACCTAAAAAGTATTCCTACCTAAAC